AATCATTATTAGACTGCATGTGGCTGTGAATCATTTCTTGCCCTGTTGTGTTTCCAAATGGTCTCTGAGTTAGCATTAGGGTAGGAAATATTGTCAGCTACTCAGTCAAAACTCATTTGATCATTTGGATTAATCAGAGTGTGCCTTCTGGCAATGTTTCTGATTGCTGTGATTTGTTTACCGTCTAAGTCAGGGGTGTCAAACATACGGCATGTGGCCCGATAAAGGTTCCAATTCGGCCAACTAAATGAATTTTCAATCCATTTTCTAAATTAAAATCGACTTGTGAACCATAATTGAATAGTGGTCTCTGTTATTCCACTAAGGAGCAAAATAGAGAAGTAAACTCAGTGCCATAAACTAACAAAATGTGCTAACAATATGTAATTCTACATTAGCACACTGAACATTTGATGCTGTTCTCACAACTAATTTAGGGATTTCACAGCAACTGGGGTGACTATTTGGGCAGTCACAACCTGTACATTTTTCAATGTTTGGATTTTTTTTGGATAATGAATCGCAGTCTCTTCATGTGTTTTGTAGGTGCACTGATAACGTACTTTTCAGATAACTGATGTATTAATGGTCTACTAAACTGACTTTTTTGGTCCGGTCCATGTGACATTAGAGAGTGTAATGTGGCCCGCTAGCTAAGGTGAGTGTTGATGATCTAAGCCTACGTCCACATTAATCCAGATAAATTTGAAAACGCGTCTTTTCTCTACGTTTTGGCCTTTCCATCCACACTGAAACAGCGTTTTCGTCCAGCGAAAATGAAGCTTTTCAAAAACGCTCTCCCAAGTGGATAAATATGAAAACGGTGTTTTCGTGTTGTAGTGTGAACTGAGAAAATGGAGATATTCAAAAACAATGTTTGGAGATATTCAAAAACAAAATTTTTAGTCATGTGATGCAGTCATGTGACCCATTCAACTCAAAACAAACAAGATGGTGGACGATGTTGTACTGCAGTTGTTGTGCCTGCTTTCCAGTTTGATAACGTTGATAAAGATTATTGTCACTTTGTATAAACTTCAGATATTGCCGCATCAATTCAAAGAGCCGGAAAGTAAGTGAACGCCTGACGGAAATGACGCAGGCCAAAGTGGCTTCCGTTTTTACGCATGCGCAGTATAGGGATGTAAGCATTTTCAGACGTTTGAGTGTGGACGAGCAATTTTTGGAAAACATTTTAAAGCGCCAGTGTGGATGGAGAGCGTTTTAAAACGAAACTGCAGTTTTCAGATCTATCCAGATTAATGTGGACGTAGCCTAAAGCTATATAGCATAGCCAATCCACCTACTGACATGTTTTAGGAGGTGGGAGGAAACCGGAGAACCCTGAGGAAACCTTGGAAAACATGCAAAACTCTACACAGAGAGTAACACGAGCTCAGGATTGAACTGGGAAGCCTGGAGCTGAAATACTAAGTGCACTAAGTGTTTAATGATTTATGACTGTGTGTTCAGTTTCTGACTGAAGCTGCCAACTCCTCAGTGCACACACACACACACACATAGAGGAGACAGCTTGGTTTATAGTGCTGCGTCTTGTTATGCAATAAAGTGGATGAGCTTTCAGTACTCCTTTGTGCATTGCTTTGCTGCGCTGAAACTGCTGACAGCAGCTGCAATCTTTCACGCAGCCGTGCCAGCTCAGGCAGAATATACTGGAACTCAGCATGATGAATAACTTCGGCATAATGGATAAATTCAATCATTTTCACTAAATCTAGGAAACGCACAATTTCGGTAAAACCAGAATATCTTTGTTAGTCATAAAATAACATTAAACTATGATTAGATTCTGACAATTAAGTTAGGTGTTGGTTTTAATTCTTTATTTATGAAACAGTTGAGTCACTATAAGCACATTCAGGTTACAAGGAAAGATGAGATCACACTCTACCAGCAGAGTAAACCACGTTTTAAATCAGAGCTCCTAATAAAAGTTTGAGACAGCCTATAAAATAACAAGGGTGCCTTATGTTAGCCCTGGTAAATCTCATAAATATTCAGACACAGGTCAGAGGGAACAATAAACCTTGTTCATCAAACCATGCTGAATACAAAACTAAACATTAGGTTTATAGGATTTGTGCTAAACATGACAAAATCGAATCCTTCATCGTGGTTTGTTCCAATCACAATAGCCACTGCTCTTTCTCCTTACTAAATTGTTCAGCCCACTTCTTGGTGAGCTCCAGGTAAAGATCAGGCTCATGGGGCTTGTAGTCCAAATACAGACGATTAGCAGTCTTCTTGGGTACGGCTCTTTCGATCTGCGTCCCTTCGTGCCACTCGTTAAACGAAGTGATTGTAATGATATCCGGCCTCACAGACAGCGCTGCCTGCAACGAGGTCTCATAATAGCGTCCGTTGACTCGGTTCCGCGTGTTGTGGTTGTTCCACGGCCGAACAGCCGTGTCTACGTAACCCGGCCCAGCACTGGGCATGAAAAGCAGGTTGTTTCCATCGCAGAAATCTTTGATGGTCTTCCAGTTCTGATGAGAGGAGCCATAAGAAAAGCCATTGGATGCAAAATAGGTGTACATGCCGTCGAAGCCGCCTGCCAGGATGTCGTGCTTGTGACGTTCTTCGACAACAAGGCCGATGAAGATCCCGTCGTAAAGCGTTCCTCGCAGGCTGTGGGAGCCTTGCTTGGTAAGTAACTCAGCCCAGGATTCAGGAGGGGTCAGGTACGAGTCATACACATAGAATAAAGGGAGGATTCGCCCTGTGCTGGACTTGAATCTGTAGAATGCATGATGATTTCCATACCTGTGTTAAAAAAAAAAAAAAAAAAAAAAAAAAAAAA